CCCCAAAACCCCAAAACCCCAAAACCCCAAAACCCCAGCATGGGCTTATACATTAATTTCATTATTTGTAAGATATTTATTAATTAAAGTATAATTATATTCTTTTAATGGAATTCAGGCGTACAGGTAGTGTTTCTAGCAGTAAAAATTCATCTTTTATTAAGAAAAATAACAAGATAAGTATTGACGAAGATACTCGCCTTCAATAATCTTTAATGAGTGAATTCTCTAGTCACATGAAATTTGCTAATGAAGAGCGTTTGAAGGAAATAAAGGAGCAAAAGATTGTAAGGAAATTTTAAAAATAACTCAAAATTTGTGCTTATTTCTTCCTTTTTTGGGCAACCTTTATCCTATTAAACTCTTGTATCGGATTTTCCTCAGCTCCCTTTTACCTTCCTGAAGTCAAATGCAATCATCTTGAGCCATCAGACAACTGCAAATATCTAAAAAGTCTGACATCAGCATTATATTGCTTTGAAATAATAGGCTCGCTCTTACTAGTTATTCATGGACTATTACTAATAGCACTCATAGATCATATCAAGCATTTGAAACTGATCAGACTAATTTAAAGATTCACTAAGGTCGTTATTATTCTCTACTTAGTATTGATCGTTCTTAGAATTGGAGTATATATAAAAGTTTAGTCTGAAGTGGCATCCATTGATTCTAATGAGACTGACCAAGGATTCGGTAATTTCTTGGCAAGCTTTGTTGATGATCCTCAGACAGCCATAGCTGTAACCTGTATACTTATGTCATGTTTCTTTTTATGTTTTCTAATGAATTGCTTCACAGTAAGATTGACAAACAAGATTGAAGCATTTATCATAAAGCCACCTCCTGAAAATGGTAGTTTATAAATAAATTCAGAGACCAAAAGAAGTTCTAGCGATGGGAGTGGTGATGATAATAAACGCAAAAGTTCATAAGATTCAAATGGTAGTTCAGATAATAATAGCACAAAATAAAAAACTAATAAATCAAGTAAACTTTTCTTCTGGAAAAGGAAGGAGTCAAATAATTCCAAGATTAGATCCCAATCATCACGATTGCTATAAGATGAAGAGCAAAAAGAGGAAGATGATGCTATGGATGATAATAATAAATCTAACAAGTATAGAAAGCAAACATGAAAATCCATAGGAATGACTAATTATAATCTCAATTAATTGATCAAATATATAAATTTGAGTTGATGGTCATCAATTGTTTGTTAATCGAATAATATGTAATTTGTGAGATAAATAATAAGTAATACCCAACTCTAATTATAATTATCTAATTAATCTATTAAAATATTATAATTATTTGATTTAATGGATGTACCTTTTGATCCATCTCAGAGCAGTGAAGTAATTCTTCTCAGTGAGCAGAGAAAAAGTAATCAAACACTCCCAAGAGCTTAAACTATGCGAGAAGGCACACTTAAGCTACCATATTAACTTGGGGTATCGGGCCTAAGTCCAAGAACAGAATAAAATAAGGGAATAAACAAATAAAAGAAAAATACTAAAGACTTTTAGATTGTAAATTAGGATCTGAGTATGATTAAGTCAGTACGATCATATAAAATTCTCAAGAATGAATTATACAAATGGACTTAGATAGTGAGGATAGTTAGCCATGGTATCTTCATATTCTCTACATTTTTCTTACTGATATCAATTATGCAATATATATTCTGTTCCCCACCGACGTTTATAGCTCTAAGTGTTGTCTCAGCTGATTCAGATATGTAATTAGATCCTGATTCAGATAATAATCTGATAGCTCTATCATACATAATTTGTTCAATCCAACTATTAGAATCATTGCTTGGATATGCAATCTCAATTATTGCTTTTAAGATTGAGAAGAAAAGAGACATGAAATTAGCTAAGACATTAAACAGAGTAACTATTTTAGCAATGATTATGTACAATATCATGATTATCGTGTAATTTTATCTTTGCGATCTATATCTATTTAAAGTAATAGAATATAATTACTCAGATGATGGAGATGATGTTGTCTCGGAAAAGAAGAAAACTCCAACTATTGTTTTACTAGTGATAATCTTGATAAATATGATCGGAGTGACAGTCTTAACTTACTGTGCTAGAAGGCTATTTTTACATTATGAGAGATTACTTGGAGAATATGTTATGTTTCTCATTAAATTTGTCGAGACTCCAAGAAGTAAAATGGCATAAAAATATATCCCTCCACTTGATCCACTTTATGAAGAGTCAAGTGTATGTAATACAACTGTCAGCCAAATCTTCTAAAGAAGAAATTTTTCAAATAGTAATTAATTTGCCAACAGAGAATCCAGACCAATAAGCAAAGCTAATGATGATTATAACTATGACATTGATGAAGAAGGTACAAATTATTATGAACCTTCATCTCAATAAAATGATGAAACCCCAAGTTTAAAACTAAACAGCAATAAAAAGATAATGGGGAATATTAATAGGTCAAAGAGTCAGTTCAGATGAATTCGAACAAATACTAAGAGAATAATAAAGAAAATGGATTCTTAGTTAAACTTACTCAACCATTCTAATATCATCAAATATATATTCTATACTTAACTATCATCGTAAGAATTCTAATATTTTCTTTTTCCCTACTGATACAATTTTATGATATTTAGGGGTTTTGGGGTTTTGGGGTTTTGGGG